CCGGGTGTTCCCTGCCTCGGAGTCAGCTGTCAGCAGCAACGTGGGCTGTGGAGCACTGCTCGTCCCCGCCAGTGTGAGAAATGACACGGCGGGGCTGGCACACGGCGGCAGTGACGCTGAAGCACTCTCTCTCGTGCCTGACGCGGATGCGCCCTTTCGGATCCTCACGCAGATGAAGTCCTGGTGCAGCAGTCAAAGCTCAGGTCTCCGCCGGGCTGCCTGCCCTTACCAGGTTGTGGTAAGGTATGCATCCAGCCCCGCTGAGCAGGCACCCACGAGCAGAGCAGCTGTGCTGAGACGAGGCAGTACTTTGCAAGAACCTCTGCGCCAGACTAAAGCCGGATTATGTTTCCTAGAAGGAAATGCAAGGACCAACTATGGGGAGGGAAAAGCAAGGAGGCACGCTTAACTGCCATGCGTGAGTCGCTAGATACTGTATTTCCCCCCACAACACGCCTTGGCCCTGATGACCCTTGAGCCCATCCTCCTTCACCTGACAAAACTTGTTTCACTGGATGCAGACACCCCGTGTCCTGCAGCAAGTCACTATATGCCTTTCCAAACTGCTTTGAGAAGAGGTGGCTGATCCCAAGAGCCTCATTTGCAAGGGCCCATCCCCATTTTGAGATGCTGAAGAGCATGCCCTACCTAGCTGTCTGTCTAAAGACAGTGGTAGTCATTTAGTAATCCAAGTAATGTAACAGGAACAGAGAAGTTTTTTGGCATACTAACCTTCTCTCTGTAGAAATAGGAGCATCAGCCTCCTAACACTCTCACTTTACTCTCAGTGTTTTCCAGTATTCTTTACCCTCACACTGCTCCTACTCTCTTGCAACTCCATTAACTGATGGGACACTGGATATCAGTGGACACTGGACACTGTTCAGTGGCAGCACCAGAGAGGAAGCACAGACATCATATTTACTTTGATGGACAAAGGAGTCATTGTTCCCAAGGGCACATTACTGGTTTTGTTAATTAGGAAGCACCTTGTGTGTGATAAAATGAACATCTAAATCAATGTTACACAGCCTAAACAGAAATTCAGCTTTTAGACTTTGAAGGTTAGAGCGGGATCAATAACTCTGCAAGATAAAACATTTGTACTTGCTATATCAGTGTTTATGACTAGTACATTGTCATGTTCTCTCTGTTATTTTGACATGAGGAAATCACCTAAATATCAAACTAGTCACGTACTGACATTTCTACACTCCTTTTACATAAGCCATTTGCCTTCTATAGAACAACACCACTTCTGTTGCTACAGTGTTTCTGAACATATGCAAGACACTTAGCAAAGCTTGCTTTCAGCTGTGACAGCCTGAAATTGCTGCCAGCAGGAGGTGACACTACTAAAGAACCACAGGCTCCTATCATGCAGCTCTCCCCAGCCACTTCCTAGCTAGCACAGCCCTGGCAATCAAACTGCATTTGCCAAGGGCAAACTAGAGTTTTCCTGTACTACCTTTAAAGCAAAAGCATTCTGCCAACATGCCAACGTTGCAGGGAAGTTCTCTAAGTTTTTGTAAGGGCACTCGAAATACAGACAGACTTAGAAGTTCATTCTCACTTCAGTGCCTGATAAATTTATGGAGAAGATTATTCTGGGAGGTATTGAAAAACACATGAAAGACAACACAGTCTTATCAAACCTGCGTTCCTTTTATGATAAGATAATCCACCTAGTTGATCAGGGGAAGCCAGCTGATGTAATCTTTTGGAAAGTAAAGTTTTCAATACTGTCTCTCACAGGATCCTTCTGGACAAAATTTCCAGCCCACAGCTGGATAAACACATCATGTGGTGCGCGAGCAATTGGCTCATGGGTCAAGCACAGAGAGTAATAGTGACTGGGGTAACATCAGACTGCTGACCTGTCACTAGTGGGGTTCCACAGTGCTCCATCTCAGGCCCTGAGCTCTTCAACATCTTCATAAATGACTTGGACACAACTGGAAGGGATGCTAAGCAAGTCTGCAGATGACACAAAATTGGGAGGAGCTGTTCACTCCCTCAAAGGCAGAGAGGCCCTGAAGAGAGACCTCAACAAATAAGAGGACTTGGTAATCACCAACCATATGAAGTTCAACAAGAGGAAGCGCTGGATTCTGCACCTGGGATGGGGCAACCTTGGATGTTCATACAGACTGGGGAATGAGATGTTGGAAAGCAGTGCCATGGAAAGGGACCTGGGGGTCCTGGTTGATGGCCAGTTGAATATGAGTTAGCAGTGCCCTGGCAGCCAGGAGGGCCAACCCTGTCCTGGGGGGCATCAGGCAAAGCATGGGCAGCCCGTGCAAGGGAGGGGATTGTCCCGCTCTGCTCTGCACTGGTCAGGCCTCACCTTGAATATTGTGGCAGTTTTGGGCACCACAATATAAGAAAGATATTAAACCATTAGAGAGTGTCCAAAGGAGGGCAGCAAAGCTGGTGAAGGGCCTTGAGGGGAAGTTGTATGAGGAGGGGCCGAGGTCACTTGGTGTGTTCAGCCTGGAGAAGAGGAGATTGAGGGGAGACCTCATGGCAGTCTACAACTTCCTTATGAGGGGAAGAGGAGGGGCAGGCACTGATCTCTGTGGTCACCAGTGACTGGACCCAAGGAATGGCCTGAAGTTGCGTCAGGGGAGGTTTAGGTCGGATATTAGAAAAAAATTCTTCACCCAGAGGGTGGTTGGGTGCTGGAACAGTGGCGCCAGGGAAGTGGTCACAGCACCAAGCCTGACAAGATTCCAAGAAGCATTTGGATGACACTCTCAGGCACATAGTGTGACTCCTGGGGTTGGACTCAATGATCCTCGCATATTCTGTGACTATTTTTTCCCACTGAGTTGCTGTAGTAACTGGCAAGAGCACAGAATTTAGGTACACCAGGTGAGCCTGGTCATTTTCTACAATCCATCCATGGTATAGCCCTGCTTGCTTCTTTTACTATTTCTTATGGGTGAGGCATCAATGACTCTTCCAAATCCCCTTTGAACTTGCTGGTACTATCTGCCTCCTGTGGCATTACAGCTTAGAAACTCAGTGTCTGTTGCACGAAGTATCATCTTTATCTATGTGAAATATCACCTTAATATAATTGGTCAATCTGTTTCAAATGAAGAAGTGCCACCCAGACTAGTGTTTGTACCATTTGGTGAATACTAATTCTGCATCCATTTGACTCACAGCTTTCAAGATTTTGTAAACCTTGACCCCTTTTCCCCTCAGTCTTCCCCTTTCCACAGTGAAGGGTCCCAGCATTTTCAGTCTCTCCTCACAAAGCAGCTTCTTCATTTCCTTGATCAGCTGCCCTTCTTTTAACTCCACAATGGAGTCCCTCTAAATATAGAAACTGCAACTTCCCAGCACTGAAAATCTGGGTCCACCAGTCTTACACAGGAGCAAAGTAGCACCACCTGCTTTTTTTGAAAAAAAAAAAAAAAAAAAAAAAAAAAAAAAAAAAAAAAAAAAAAAAAAAAAAAAAAAAAAAAAAAAAAAAAAAAAAAAAAAGATGGAACTCCAAAATGTGGTATGGTTACAGAAGAATTGTGAAAGATCTCTGCTCTGAGCTCTTATTACACTGCACCAATGTTGGACTACTTCAGAAAGCTTCATATGATCTAAACTTGGGTGATACCATTGTTCATTACTTCCTCTGAATAAGCATGCTGGAGCAGGTGGATGTGGAAGACTGCTCTGGTGGGTAGGACCCCACTCTGGAGCAGCAGAAGACTGTGAGGAGGAAGCAGTGGTAGAGACAATATTCCATGAGCAGACCACAACCCCCATTCCCCATCCCCCTGCACTGCTGGGAGAGAGGAAGTAGAGAACTCATGAGGGAAGTCAAGCCCAGGAAGAAGGGAGGGGCAGGGGGAAGGTGTTTTAAGATTTGTTCCTATTTCTTATTATCCTACTTGATTTGATTGGCAATAAAATAAAATAATTTCCCCAAGCCAAATCTGTTGTGCCTGTGACTCTAATTGCTGAGCAATCTTCCTGTCCTTGTCTTGACTCATGAGCTATTAATTGTATTTTTTCCCCTTGTCTAGTTCAGGAAGGGAAGCAATAGAGCAGCTTAGGGAGCACCTGGTGGCTAGCCAAGGACAGCCCTACAAAACCATCCAGGTCTTAGCTAAGCTCTCCTAGTTATATCCTTTCCAAAGGGAAATAAAAATACAGTTTAAAGTTAGACAGTCCATCACAGCATATGAGCAAATGCAACATGAAATATTTTTAGTACAAAATAATAATAATACAAAATTATATTTGGAAGCACTTTGTCTTAAATGCACCTAAACACAGATCTAACCTGATAACACCTTTTTCTTATATATTGACTCAATACTGTTACAATAAAGCATTACATTTTAATCACTGATCAGTTCAGCTGTCATATAGTAACATAGTCCATCCTTTGCTTTTCATGTCTGTAGCTTTATTTTTATTCCAACTGATAAAAATGTAAGATATTGTATAGCAAATATAAGAGGTAAGAAATTAC